AATACTATAATAGTTGTGGTTCTACATATATGCATTCCATTTGTTTTTCTCTCAATACGTTGTGAAACTTCTGAAACCGGACTGTTGAAACTAAACTACAACAACAGCATAAATGTGCGTATGCAACTGACGTAGAGTTTTTTTGGCTGACACTGCCGGGTTGTCGGTTTGATACTGTTAATCATTTGCCCAGATGGTTTTTCACCAGTAACCTGCGGGTTACATGTTTCAAATTTTTTCCTTATTACTATTTGATATGCTCAGCCTTCGTTCAACGATACTACTGGCGTATGTTTTACTTTTTCAGTGGATTTTTGCAGCTAAAACTATTAATCATTTTGCCATAATTTTTTCAACACATTTAATGCTAAGAGGTCCTATATATATAAATATATTCCCTTTATTCTTTCCCCTCTCTTCACCCCTCTAGAACTCAAACACTTATCACCAAATTTTTTTCCCGATATTTATCAGGATACACTGTTTGCACGTATCAAGTACGTAATATCTAATTACACTTTAATGTTTCCTGCTCTATGTTTATTCTTGAAGAACAATTACTAAAAGTTTAAAGAATTAGAGGAAAACCAGGAGGGTAAAGGAGAAGACAGTATAGACAGTGGGAAGGAAAGAAGAAGAGATTGGGAAGAAAAAGCGTTTTTAATGATTTCAACAAAACAAGTGAAAATTTGACTGTATTAAATTATTTGTCTAATGCAAGAAAAAATTTCCTCCTTTGTTTGATGGACCAAAAAAAAAAAAACATGATCAGTGAATAAAACTTAAGGTAAATTGAAGTTGTCCCAAAATTTTGCTTTCTTTATTTGTGCAGAATCTTTTGTTGTGCTGTTATCGGTTACAGTCGTCGTCAAGGCATACATCCATCATTGTTCATTCAGTTTTCTTCAAATGACCAAATTTTTTTTTTTATATTTGTCTTGCCTTGTCTTGTCTTCCTGTTCTTGTTCTTGTTGCTGCTGCTTCTGTTTTGTTATAGTGAAAACAAATGTTGAACATCGGTGTCCACAGAGCTGATGGATTCAGAATAGGGGCTTCAGTTCTCTGTTGCAAATTTATTGGAATTACAGTATCTATTATTCCATGTATGATAATTTATTAATCTTTATGGCTTCACTCAGTTCTGCTCTTCTCGAGAATCAATCCATTTTTTTAGCCAACAAAAGCATAATATCGTTTAATATTCACCGAGAAGGGGAAAAAGAACGGATAAATTTGTTGAAACAAAATTAAATATTGTTATCGACCAAATAATACAACTCAGCAGTTTATTTTGTCTTTTTTCATCACATCTTTAATTTTTCGCCTAATTTTTTTTTTTTTTTTTGCTTTTGCTTCCTTTTCATCAATCAAGCAGTACTTATGGGAACCTGAAAAGAGAATCTTTTCAACCATTTAAATATCAGGTATTAGCAGGACCAGAAGCACAGTTGTCTACTAAAATCAATTGGCAATCGTAATCTGTCAATTCAGGTAATTTTTACCGTCATTTAAATGTCACTGAAAACAGTTATTGTCGTCGAACTGTATTTATTGTGTACTGTAACCCTTTAACGTCCATTCAAATATTCCGCTAAACTATTTATAGAAATTCAATTTTTTAAGCCATTAAAAACAAAAATTACGGCTTTTAAATCTGTAACTTTTTTCCTTTTGTCTAAAATTTATACAGTGAAAATTATTTATGTTGTAATTTGAAAGTGAATAAATTCTTTTTTTTGCAGATAAAAAACGGTTATTTACTATTATTTGTCTTCGCTTTTTCTTTTCTTTGCTTCTTCTCATTCCATTCCTATTTGATTTGATCCCTTAGCTGTTTGTTTTTAAAAAATTACATATATTATTGGCGGAAGAAAAAAATAAGGTTCTCAAATAACAGTCATCACTACAGAGAGCTTTATAAAAGTACATTCACTACCAATAAGTTGTTTTATTTATCAATGAATCGAAAAAGGAAAAAAAACTATAAATCAAAAGAAAAAGAAAAAAAGAAAAATTATCAAACTGTTTTTTATTAGTAATTTTTCTTCTTTACGTAAAAATCTGATAACGGAAAATTGTTGAATTTGCAATTTGATGAAAAAATGTCGAAAGGCGGGGAACGACGGACTGAAGAAGTAGGGTAGATACGAGAAACGAAGAACAGTAGAACATTTGGCATCATCACCGTCATCATCATAATCATCATTAGCAGTAGCAACAGCATCAGGTGAATTCGGAAACCAACAACAACAACTACTGCTGCTGCTGCTGCTGCTGTTGGCCTATGACGCAGTTGATGACAGTGCGGTGTAAAATGACACGAGCCTCAGCTCAAAACCCTATAAAGTTTGGCAGCCACTGTTGCCGATACATTTACAGTTTCAGTACCCATCGCCTAATCGACAGTAAAAAAAAAGAAAAAAAAATTTTTTTTCCATCTTACCTGTTCAATATTTTTTAATTTTCCGTTGAACTGTCATTTCTAAACTTCTCTTTCTTTTTTTTCACCTTTCTTCAGTAAACCCTTTCCCTTCTCTCAGATTTTCATCTTCCTGTCTTCTTCTTCGTCTTCTCATTTCTTCTTTTCCTCAATCATTTTTGTCACAAGTCTTTTCTTTCATTTGAACATCTTGTCAGTTATCTTCGGAGTGATCAAATTAAATGTTCATATTGTACAAATATACTATAGAAATATACTATAGAAATAGAAATAGAAATAGAAATATATATATATATATATATATATATATATATAT